GGTCAGTAAAGATTAGAAATGGAACGATAAATCAGCCGGACGACGCTTTGGGCTGATATTAGTCTTCTTCCTCGCATCTGCATCATGTGCACTGAAGCAGCGCGGTGAAGCACATCTACCGCTTCCTCCAATCTTTTATTGCAAATCATTTGTTGGATTTCTTTGAAGTAGACGTTTGTTTTTGTTTAAACCAAGACTTGTGTAACATTTGCTTTCACTGGGTCCCTTTTCTCCTGCTAATGAGGAAGGCAGAGCAATACGTGATCCAAGATGGCCGCTGCTCAAACTTTTGGCCCCTTATGTCTCCAGAAGCAGCATTTAATCACTCAGCGCTCCTCTTTAACTCTGACCACGATATGCTGCCATGCTGCTGGGTTTACGCCACATTTCAGCTCTTAGGTACATTTTTCTCTTCTTTCTTATAGGAAACAGTTTCCTCATAGCTTTGCTATTTTTTTATTTGTCATTTGCAGGTCAAAAATACACAAAAATAGAAATTAGGTGTATAGATGTGAGATGAGGCCTCTAACCTCATTTGTTTGCAGAGGAAGGAGGTAACAAGGATAAATCATTTCCCATCCGTTATCTACTAGCAGAATCTTTATTTAAGGTATAATGTTCAGGGGGTTTTATCTGTTCACTACACAGATTCCACAAGTGCAGCCGCAACTTCCTGCCGCAGGTCGCAGTCATTTCAGTTCATTTTGTGGAAGTTAAACAAAACCTACTTCCTTCCTTTTGGCTACAAATCTTCTTTCTACCTTTGCATCAAAGCAGATCTATAAACAAAACTTCTGTCTCTGAATCGAAGCCATATTCACTGGAAAAAGACTTTTTTTATTAAATAAGTTCCTTGATTCTTGGATTAGGAGGTTAAAGAGACATTTTGCCAATGGAACACGACAATTTACATTTGAAATAAGAAAACACAACTGGATTGTCTTATAATTAAGGGGAAATATTATCTAATGATCTTATTTTAGAGTAAAAATACTCATTCCGTTGGTAAACTTTCTCCTTTACCTGCTCAGATTATTAGACCTGATGCCGAGCCATGCCGCTCAGCGGCTTCTGCTGTCAAGAAACAGAAAGGTGTGGGCATCTGTTCAGCTGTCAGATCGACCAACGGCGCCCTGACTCACATTTCCGACTGGCGGAACGTAATGAATGAACGGAGAAGGTGAGGTAATGGGTTACAGACCCGCTGAAAACAGATGAAAGTGAAATATCGATGACATAAACATGCTTTGTTACGAGCTAAACTGAAACCTGGTTCTGTGAAAGTTTCACAGTCACAAATCAACATCCTGTTAGTCATCGTTATTCCAGTGAGAGAAGGTTGAAATCGACTTAAATCGATTTATTTTCTCCATGAGGCCGGCTCACAGAGGAAAGTCTCAAAGCGGAGATTTGATGGAGAAGGCAGAGACCCTTCCAGTAAAAATACTGAAGAACAAACAACTGGAAACTGAGTGGGATTGTTACGATCATCAAGCTGCTCGTTTAAAGTCTGTAGATTCCATAAAAGGCTTTCTGCCGTTCTTTAAACCCACTAGCTGTGACATCGCAGCGCGCTAATCAAGACTGGACTGAACGCAAATAACATTTATGGAAGGAAAATTAAGCTCTGCCAGTCGGAAAGCAAATAGAGAGATAAAAGCATAAAGAAAAATATTAATAGATATAGAATAGAAATAACCCTAAAACAGTCATTAAATTCTTTACTCAGGCAGCTAATCTGTGCGTTCAGACAGTAACTGAAGGAAGTGATGAGGCCAGGTGAAAACCTGCAGACCAGCGTCTGATTTCAGAGGAAAAGGAAGTGACAAAACAGTGAAAAGTTGAATCAATGCGCACCCTGCTGTGCAATCAGCATGATTAGCTGCCAGTGATTACCCCCAAACTGATGTGGCTTTGTTGCCGTTTCATTTAAGAATATATCGCTACATGATGAATAACAAAGAAGCCTGATTTGAGGCTGAACGTCCCGTCGCTTTAAACTGGATATGGAAAAATTATGTTTATGCAAAGAAACAAAAATTAAGTTCCCCTAAAAGGTTTTCATGCCTCTTAAGCCGCGGTCACACCTTGACGGTTTAGACCAGCGTACGCCTCACAAACGAAAGATTTGGCAAAAAACGCTGGAATACTTTGGATAATGAACACGGTGAAGCACGCTGGCATACGGTGAGTACGCCGTATGCCAGTGTGTTCTCACACATGGGCCATCAGTTCCAGGTCAGTTATCTGATGGCTGACATACGTTAAGTGTGAGTTACTCATACGTCACGGTGTCTAGATTATCCAAAGCCTGACTACCCTGTGCAGAACTTATGCCTTACTTATCCAGAACTTCTCTCCAATGCATATCAACGTATCTGACGTGTTCCAGACGAGCGCTGAACATGTTTCTAACTTCCAGCTACTGTATAATGGCGTATTGCAGCGTTTTGGTATAAAGGGGGTTCACAGGAGGAAACCGTCAGTTCTCCTCCAGACTTTATCCCATCACAGGGTGAGCCAGAAGGTGAGTGATGGATCCTACCTGCGTTTATGACCAACAAACTTCCTAGCAGACATGAATCTGCTGAGACTGCAAATCATCTTTCTGTGTTTTTCTGTTTTTGGGGGGGCAGACGGTAAACAGCAGCTAAGTTAATACTGCGATGGAAGACATGTTTGTATGCAGGCCAGGCGCTTCCAGGCGCATCACTGCCCCCTCAGGACACTTATACATCATTTCATGGGCATTAAGGCGATTTATACTCAGAAATGAGTCGTCTGCGTGTCTCGCAGTTAACGCAGATATGACCCCGCCCTTCTGCAGACTCTGCTGCTCCTCTCCAATATGCTAGGTGACAGCAGACAGGAGGCCTCTGATTGGTCAAATCTCCATCCGTTCTACACTATGCGTATTTCCTGTTTGGTTCCTAACTGGCTTGTTTTGTTTGTCTGACCACCATTATGGAAAACGACTGGTGAAGATGGAGCAGCTAGCAGAGCGAGGTGCGTGAGAACGCTGGGACCCTTTTTCCACCTGGATCCCCGCTCTTTTTGGCCCTCATGTCCCTCCGTTGTCTCATAAACTTGCCCCCACTTCCTCACCGCCTCGGCCGTATCTAGACCCACAGCTAGTTCCTGATTGGCCCTCTGGCGTTGTGGCGTGGAATAACAGTGCAGACCACGCTTCAATATTGGGCAGAAATTAAAAATATCTGCAACACGCTGCTGGGGGAGGATAAAGGGCTGGTTATACTCCCACAGCAGTGTGTCGCAGTGAGCTCGTCGCAGTGGGCACACTGGCGTTCACTGCGACACACAGACGATCTGGTTTCTGAGTATAAATCAGCCTTAACCAGCTCTCACTGCTGTGGGTTATGCATAAGTTAGGCTGTCGTTGGACAAACGCTCTGGACTCGTTATGGATGTAAACGCCCAAAATAAAAAAAATACATAGATAGTTCATGTATGACAGCGTTTTATGAGATTCTGGGACGTGAGGCATAGGCAGGAAAAATCGTCAAGGTGTGACTTGAAGGGGGCTTGAAACGGTGACACATTGTGCTACATCACTATTATAAACCGCCGCACATTCTAAAATATTGTATGTGAGAAATAAACTTAGATGTGATTGGAATTTTTAATTGGAATAAAAAGAGATAGAGGGATTTAAAAGTAAAAATGTTTACATTAAATGAGTTTAAAAGACCATCTTGAAAGACTCCCACTAATACGTCCGTCTCCAAACCCCCAGCGCGTCGGACCAATGACACGCCAGCACCGTTTTTAGGGGTGGGACATGTAGGAATGGCGACAGTCAGAAGGACCTGGTTACAAACATGGCTACACTGGAGGGTTGGGTTTTAGATAAAATAGAAGCACTTTAGCATTTGTAGATGGGAGAGATGACTGTGGCAAAGTCTGATTAATCAGCTTATTCTGCTAGTTGAGAAAACAGCCAAGAAGCTGCAGACCAATCCTACTGTGATCATGGGGTCACCTTTGGTTGCTCTCATGGACAACCAGGTTGCCAAAGCTATAAGCTGGGTAACAATGATGGAGATTGGCTGAAAGCGTATTAAGGAAGGCGGGTACTAGCTGGCATGTCACCCAATCAGCTCAAGGTATTGCACTAATTATCCACCCTTTTCACAGAATGAACTCAGTTCTAGGAATATCAATCTGGCTGCTGCCAGGTTAAGGTGCATCCAGGATTGGAAGGAAGTCATGGAGGAGACGTAGAAAGGCATCGTCTGCACCTCTAGCTGGTGACTAACAGTCAGCGTTCAGAGTGACGGAGTGTTTCTAAATGTTGCTCAGACACTTTTATTTTGATCTCATCTGCAGGTTATTTTTTCCCTGGACATTTTCTAATGAAGTAACATTTGTGGCAAGGATGACTCTCTATGAACAAATTCTCCAACCTGAGCTGTGGATCAGTTCAATTCTATTCAGTGTATTTCTATAGATCCAATTCACATCATGTCATCTCAGGTCACTTTATAGATCCAGATCAACCAGATCATCCAGTCAGATTGATTCAAAGTTTTCTATCTAAGGAAAACCAGCTGATTGCATCGACTCATTGACTCTTCAGCAATCCCTCACACTAAGCATGCTTGTAGTTCAGCTCCTCCAGAGTCACCGTGGGCTTCCTGCTGCACCAATAGGATTCCTCCTTTCCTTCAATGAAGTTCTAACAAACTTCTCAGACCCTCCCACCACATTATGCAGATTAAACTACAAAACTTTGAGATTTATCTAACATCGTACATATTTTACACTTGTAATTTGACAAAATTGCAATTTTATTAATTTCTTTTTTTATTAATTTCTGTGATGGAAGAAAATCCATTTGGAAAAACATCTGAAGCCAAACAGGATGGAAATTAGTGGAATGTAAAACGATTTGTGTTTTGCTGTAACAGCTTTATAATCATCAACGTTCGCAGGATATCTGCTTGGAAAAATAAAAAAAGGTCGTAAACTTGCCAACTTACATTTGAGGGTTTCTCCAGCGTAGGGGATGTGGAGTTTGAAGCGATCGCAGCATGGACCCGGGGTTAGAGATGTGCATCTGGACATCAAAGGTAAAAACAAACAACTCTTTAAATAATTGGCTTTACAAACATTTTATTCATGTTTTAAATATAAACTTAATACTCACAGAACTTGTGTCAAACCCAAGCTAAATAAATTATTGTGAATATTCCTACTCTTTGAAGTCTATTTACTAAATAAAATAATTAAACATGTTTTTTTGAATATGAAGCACAAAAAAAGATAAATAAGAAAAAAAATATAATAATAATAAATATAAAATTTAAAGAAAAGTCCTTTATTCCCACAGACATAATGAAATTAAATCTAAATGTTTCCATTTCTTTAGAAACCTGAGAGCTAAATGTTGGAAGCTGGTCTTCTATCCTAAAGCTGCGACTGATGGCAGCAGCCTCACCCCGTTTTAAGGTCTGTGACACGGAGGCAGTTGGTGGAGTCCAGCCCCACTCGGCCGTTCCTCACCACGCTGCACAGCAGCGGCCGCAGCTCCGGCGAGATGCGGTGCAGAGCCACCTCGGGCGACATGTTGTTCATGGTATCCACAGTCAGGGGTCTGCAGACGGATACAGCAACCATCAATCAACCACTTCCACAGCAACGCCTCACTACCAAGCTGCAACTTGTGAATTTTGGAAATAAAACACAACATTTTAACTTTTGTTGGTTCTTCTGTTGCTCTTTAAGTTTTTCAGAAGTAAAACTGTGCAGCAAATTCATAATTTGATATTAGCGCATTGGAAAAGAGTTCTTTCATATTTTATAACCCCACATTTTAATATACAATATCAGGATTTTAAATGACAATCTACTATAAAGCACTTCATCGTATCGGGGAAGTGGAAATGATTCATTTTTATTACTAGAAATGTGTTTAGCAGTTGTGTTTAGTCCACTTTAGTCTGACACCAACTGCTGCCAAAAACCACCAATTAAATAAATAGTCTCCATCTGTTTAGAATTCAGCCTCACTGCAAATAAAACTCTTGAGTTTCAGAGGCTTGTTAGAAAACATTACTGAACCTTCAGCATCACAGAGCAAAATGAACTAAAGAAGTTATGCTATGTTGAATGTCCTAAGCTCTCAACATCTCATCGACCACTGTTCACTCCATCAGAAAAAAAGTGGGAAAAATAGAATACATTTAGTTTCCAGGCCTGCAAAGGAAACCAGAGAAGCAGCTAAAAGGTCCTTAGGATTTCTAAAAGAGCAGCAGAGATCCACAGCTCAAGTGGGAGAATCTGTAAGCAGCTGTGAACACAGCATCTGGCTTACATGCTGATATCCACGGTTCAGAGAAAGCAACAAGAAGATGATGCATGGAGACAAACTAACTGCCTTTTCCTGGACATCCACTATAATGGGAGCATCATTCTATCAGGGTTAGCCCCAACCCTCTGAAGGAAAACTGTCAGAGACAACAGGAGGATCCACGACTATAGAGACCATGGAGTTTGTCAGCTAGTTAGACAGCTCTAGACTGAAGCTGAATGTCAGCACTACCAAAACCACGGTGGTGACATTATCCAACAAGTAGAGGGAGGAAGCTGCAGCTGTCACCACCATCATGTGGAGGAGTAAAAATAATTGGGTACAACCTTTGGCTGTTTTGTGAAATTCCTCTAAAATGTAGACGAGCTCCTCAGGAAACGCATGGACATATAGAATCTCTTAAAGGTATAGTGGAGGATTCTTGCAAAGTTTTGAAAATACCAACCCTCTCCTCTTTAAAAAAAGATGCACATGCACAACCCTGAACCCGCTCCCGATATGGAACGCCTATTAAACGCATGAACAGGCCCATTTCTCCTCGTGCACGCTGTGTTTTAAAAGTTGCTGTTTGCATCGCTCATACAAGTTCACATTCCAAAAGAAGATTTGCAGCTTTCCGAGCGTACGTAGGCCGTCCTACAAGCATGCTCCTACGAGCATGTAGGACGGCCTACGTAAACATATTACCAGAAGGATTCACAATTAGGACAATTGATGATCCACCCAGAAAAAGAAAATCCTGAACTATAGCTTTAAGAAAACTCAGTTCCTGGGCGTGCAGGTGACGCAGCGGTTAGTGTGCACGACCCATGTATGGAGGCCTTAGTCCTCGACGCGGCCTTGAACCCGACCTGTGGTCCTTTGCCACATGTCTCTCCCCCTCTCTCATACCCCCTTTCCTGTCAGCCTACTGTCAGCACCATTGGTGCCAAAAAATTATCTTTGGAGTAAAAAGATGAATATCTGAAATAGCAATTCCCATGACGTAGATAAAGGCTGCACTACGATCTCTGGGATCTAGGAACAATGTTCGAATGTGTGGAAAGTTTGAAAGTCTGTGAAAAGACAGGAAGTACAAATGTGTTTCTTTGGCTGAAGCCCTGAATAAATGTTCTCCATTTTAAAGCTATGATTTACAGACTGCCCTGTGATGGACTGGCGACCTGTCCAGGGTGGACCCCGCCTCTCACCCGTAGACAGCTGAAGATAGACACCTCATGACCCCACTTGGGACAGGTGTGATGGAAGATGGATGGGTTTACAGACTAGATCTGTGGAATTAATGGGGGTTTAAGTTGAACATGACTGAAACATCTGCAGCATCCTTGCTGACTGTCTGTGAACATCTGTCTCTCTGGACTGACTGGTTGCATTATATAGATCCATCACACACTCTTTCTCTAAAGTGTGAATCCTCCCTTTCAGGTTTCATTGCCCTGCATGCAGAACTCAGAGGAGGAAAGACATATTGGTGCCTAAAGATGTGCTGCTGCTGAACTCTAAAGATTACAAACTCACTGACCGCTCCGCATTGCTGATTTCCACATCATAACTATTGTGTTTTTACGCTGCGGTCTCCTGTTTTATCTGGTGACAGGTTGCTCTACATCTTTTTTAGAGTATTTTTTTTATTGTCTTCACAATTTTTTTTATTAGTCGTTTTTTAACGTGTGTTGAACTTTATGTGACATTTCATTGCTGCTCTATGTGCCTTGAAATTGGCCACTTTTTCCTGAAGACAAAACCCAGGGATTGACTTTAAACAGAAGATGGAAGGAAATGTCACCATGAATAAAGTATCCAGAATAGCAGAGAGAATTTAAATAAAACAAAGAAGAATAAAAGCCAGAGATTCTCACCTTAAACATAATGAACATTATGAGAAATGTAGGCTGACATTAAATAAACACAGGAAGTCACACATGAATATACTGAAGGAGTAAGTCAAGTAGTTTAACGGTGTACTGTATATTTTACTGTTCTGTTTATATTTTAACATAACTTACTTAAATCTCTCTATCCTTTCAACAAAAAGAAACCTGTAATCTGACAGATTAAAAACTCGGCTTTAATATTAGAACCAAAACATTTACAGGTGAAGTTTTAGCTTAGTTAGCTAACCGCTTCTCTTCGCTAATATAAAGACAAAATAAAGGTTCATTGGACTTTAAACGGCTTTGATCTTTTCTATCTATTTTAATTCAGAACACGATGTGAATAAAAGTACCTGTAAGAAACGGAGCTTTGTGTTTTGAGCGTAAACTCCAATGTTTACTTCATGCTTTTAATCTTTCCGGGATATTATGTTTGGGTCCTGGCGATGGCCCCCTGTTAGCTGCCCGGTATAATGCCTGTCATTAGAAGGTACCTGTTTTTCAATTTAAGGGGAAAAAAATCAAATTTTCTATCAGATAAGACGTGTCTTTCAGTGTCTATTAATATTAATGATTCAAATAAAGAGAATATCCTTGTTTTTTTATTTATTCAATGAGCAGAATTAGTCTGGCAGTAGCTACAAACCACAGCTGTCATGAAGCACTTTGACCGTTGCTCACTCTTCAGGAACACATTTGAATGGAAGGTAATTTTTTTTATCGAGTTTCATATAAAGAGTCGTTTCTAGAAAGACAGTTGTTTATGTTAAAATCACTTTAATTAAGATGGACTTTGTGTTTCAGTTTTCGGTTAAATTCTTTTTTAAATGCTGCAGCCCCGCAGAGCCTAATTACAGATCAAACCAGCTGGACAGTTTATAGTCTTTATTTTAACGCATTTATTATGCGCTCCAAAGGCATCTTAGGTTTGTTCTTCTACCAGCAGAACAGTTTCAAAGTCAAATCGTATAATTTATTCGCTTTTCACCAATTTACAGGAATGCTTTGGATCTTTGCTTACTTCAGAAATTAGTTGTAAATATGAAAGTAACGCATTTATGAATATCAAAAATATTCTGTTTACATATTTAGTAATGTGTATTTTGGAAATTGCATATCTTTGATTATTTAAATAAAGAACCCGTAAAGGAACAGATAATCAGGCCCCGTGATGTGCAGAATATGAGATCAGATAAAATAAATTTTAATTATAGTCTGTTACTTTAAACAGAATTTAACACTGAAATAAAATGAGGTTTTTATGTTATATATTGAATTAAAAAACATTTTTTCCATAATTGTTCCATTTTAAAATCTAAAGTGTCTTTTTAAGTAGAGAACAACAATCGTTCAGTTTTTTTGTTGAAATTACAAGCTAATGGT